TTCCCCCTGGGAGAGCAAGTGCAGATGGAAGGATAGAGGGATGGAGGTTTTTTCCCCCTGGGAGAGCAAGTGCTAGATGTATGTTGATATATGCATGTGACACAGAAACTGCATTTAGGGGGAGGCAATGGCTCAGAGCTAAAACAGTGCAGTGTTATGTGAAAAAGTGAATGAACAGAAATGATGAGGCTGGTAGCACTAATATTCAAATATCATAATTAATTAGTTTGACTTCCAAACTGCCAAAAAACTCACTCCTTTTTCAAACCAAAATAATGCATCGCATCTTTTTTATCTGTCTTATTGAAACCTGTAAAACTCATGCTCTCTCATAAATCTATAGTTTGGTTTGCCTATCCTGAAAGTAAAGATTTAAACAGCAAAGCACAGAGTGCATTTCAGAAGCACTGCTTCCAAAAAAGCAGATCTAAGTGCTTAAATGGTAGAAAGTGGAGTAGCATTTCTTGCTTACAGCTGGTTTCAACAATATCCCATTACTTCTATTGTGAACTGTAAAGTTTTTTCCTCAGGAGGCATTGTAAGTGCTTTTATTCCCTTGTGGCTCCCCAGTGCTGATTTGATGGAGAATTTGGATGTGGTAGAACTTTGCAGGGAGATGGGAATTCCCTGTGTGGTTTGGGGTCCTGCTGGGGTGTGAGCCCTGGGGAAAAGGGAAAGGGGAAAGGGTGACCCGGGGGTCGGGGGGAGATGGCCAAAAGCAGCTGGGAAGGGGAAGAGAACTGGGCTGAGAGTGGGGTATGGCCAGCTCGGTCAGAGAGAGCAAAAAAATAGGCTAAAAAACCCCAAAACAAGACGTGTTCTACCGAATGTCCCCTCCTCGGCTGCAGGGGATGTTCAGATTGTTATCAGCACGGGTGGGTAATCAAAGCATTAAGGCGATGCCCCAGTGAGGCAGGAGGGCGCTGCTTTGGTGGCTTTGAGGAAAACCTGGCTGGTCACAGGATTAAATGTCCCTTTGGTGCCATTCGTGCCACTTTCATTAAGGCACTTCTAAATCTAGGAAGGTGGCAAAGCAGGACTTGAACTTTGACATCCCGGGTGGGAATACCTTTCAGCTGAATCACAAATAACTCTGGAAGTGTGCTGCCACCCCAGCTGATGTGGCAGAGATCCCAAAACTTAACAAGGAACAGAGATTGCCCTCCTCTACCTCACTCTCCCTGCTAAAGTAAAGGATTCTTTCTGTTACATTATTTTTCAAGATATATTGCATTCTCCATGCTTTCCTCCCCCCTTCCCCCACAGGAATCAGAGTAGCTTCTAGTGATCTGTAAATAACAAAGAAAAAGGAAGGAAAAACTAAATGAGGAACAGAGAAAAGAAAAAAAAGAAGGAAAACAGAGAAAAAGAAAGGAAAAGAAAGGAGGAAAAACTTAATAGAGATTGCCCTCTACCTCACTCTCCCTGCTAAAGTAAAGGATTCTCTCCATGCTTTTTTTCCCCCCTCCTCACAGGAATCAGAGTAGCTTCTAGTGATCTGTAAATAACATAAAAGAAGTACTAAGCTGAATTGTACAGAATATATCCAAATGAACTTATTCTGAAGGAAGAGCTCCAATTGTACATGTGTGCTCTACCATTATTTGTCATTTTACAAACACAGACTGAGCAGACACTTTGTGTCCCAGCTGGCTGCTCTAGGTCTAAGCTACCACATGTAAATTATGTGTTCTCAGTATGTTCCAAGCCACCTACAACCAAAACCGGGTTTTCTCAGCCTCCAGTACTGCAAGTCCTGTAAGAGGCATGTCAAACCACCAAAAGACTTTCATTTTTTTAACAAATGATTGTTGGAAGAGGAGTTTAGCACTGTTTCTAGAGATGAGGAAAGTGGTAATAGGGGTGGTGAAATAAAGATCATGCCACTATTAGTGGAGCCAAAATAATAATAATTAAAAGTTTGTTTAATTAAGGAAACAAGCAAGGGGCTGTAGATTTTGTACCCTGAGATGCTTGGGACTGATAGTTTATCATCAGATGAATTCTCAAGATGAGCATGAAGAATGCTGAAGATGCTGAGTTCCAGAGATCACTGAGCTATCCCTCATTACACAGTTTAAGTGTTTTCTGTACTGTCAACGCCAATTCTTGTCCCTGAAGTTCAGAAAATGACAAATTACAGTGCAGAAAGGCTGTTGGCAACCACAAACTGCTTACCCTTGCTCAGAACATCCTGCTGCTTTAAATAGTAGTGATGGTGTGTCTGCAGTAGAGTTCCCAGTGCTGGTGGAGAGTCCTAAATCTGAGACACTGCAGAAATATTTTTGGACTAGATCCTAAGGACATGGTCCTGTAAATACTCTTGGCCTAATGCTGCCTGGTATGAGAACTCTTAAAGCACCAGAAGCCATGGTAAATAAATATTATTGCTAAATAACACTTCTGTGCAGAATCAGAGCTGCACATTTGATAATCTTGAGTCCTGCTATCCAGCTGAATGGTGATCAGCATTTAGCTGATTGTGAATTCCCCTCACCTCTGTTTTGGGAAAGGAAAAGCAGGGTCTGAAAGTACTCACTCATAAAGACTTTGATGGGAGCACCACAGAGAATGGTGCTGGTCTGCCTGAGGGGTTGATTGGTACAAAATTCAGTAGGTTTGTTTCCAGTGTGTGTTCAGAAAAAAAGGCAAGCAACCAGTCATAAAAACCAAAACCACAAAGCAAACAAAAAACTTTCCCTAACAACCTCCCTTAAAAAAACAGATCAGAGACAAAAAAATTCTAAATTTCTTGGGAAAACAATCAAATAACCAGTATTCAATGAATCCTCCGTATTATTCAATTGCACTGTTGCCTTTTCTTTTCACTGTCATGCCCAGTCAGTAACACTGATTTTCTTTGGGTAATATCTGTCTTAGAATGCATCTACACCAAACACTTGTGCGTGGATGGGAGGCAGATACACCTGGAAATTTATGACCCTTGCTCACAGGTAAGAATTTAGCAGGAGGAGGGCAAAGAAAAGTTGTTCTTCATTATCTGTGTATATGGTAACAAGGTCAAGGTGTTACAAACTTTTAATTGCTGGAATTTGTGCCTGCTCTTTTGGGGTTTTCCTTAAAAGACTGAATTTTTATAGTTGCTAGGGCTTGGAACTACTGAGGACTTTCCCATTAGCAGGAGAGATTTTGGTTGCACATATTTGTGCTAGCACTCTCTGAGCTGTCTGTTCTCATTTTTTTTCCCTTAGGAACAAGGCCTAACTTTGGCTGTTTAGCAAAGCAAATGATTATTTTTTTTTTTTTCCTGATTAACTTCCATTTTTTAAATCTATTTTAGGTCCTGTGGTCTTGCTAGCTGCTGCCAAGTCATGTGCAGGGATAAGCTAATTTTAAATAGTTTTGAAATGACACTCCTTTGCCTAATGGGACAGTTTAAAGCTGTTGCTTTCTGGAAATCAGAAGTGTGGCAGCTTCTTGGTGTAAAGAGGGTCATGGATTAGTACAACCCTAATATCACTCAAGTGACTTTTTTCACTAGATTTATTAAACTCAGCTACAGATTGAAAGAAGATTTTTTTTTTCCCTAGCTCTTCAGAAATTTAACATATGGGCAATTAGTGTTTGAAACTTGAACAATTCAAAGAGGAAAGAAAAATGAAGAAAATCCTTAAGCTTACCGCAGTCAGAACATTAGGAACAATCAAACCAGAGCAACAACCACAAAACTCACAAATGTTGATGGCTCCTGTGTGTTTCACTCTCATGTAACCCTGCAGAGTATTAACCATAAGCAATGGCTGTACAGGTTGTGGAATTTCACTGCTTAAACAAAGCGTAAATGTTTCATAATGAAACTGTCAGTGAAGCAAAGTGCCATTTTTGATGTTGGCTTATTTATTTGTATAAATACATTTATACAAATATCAAGGCTTTATTTATAAGGCTGTTGGAGCAGCACTAGCCTGAATTCAACCTAAACCTATTAAATATCTTCTGCAATGAAGGTTACCATGTTCTGGCATTCACAGCAACAGAGAAAAGGCTCTGGAGTGGCAATAGTAACATTATTTTTCTGTGTGTTTTGCACCTCTTTCAGCCCCAGCAGGGGAAACTGTCCCTGGCAGATGAGCTGCACTGGGCTGATGCATTTATCATTGTCTATGACATCAGTGACAGAGCATCATTTGCCTTTGCCAAGGCCCTGCTCTACAGGATCCGAGAGTCTCACATAGGAGTTTGTAAAAAGTAAGTGACATTATTTATTTTTTTTTTTCCCTTGGCAAGGCTCTTTTGTGAGCTTGCAGGCTATCCTAGCAGCAATTAAAATCCAGCAGCATCAAAGTGATGTAACACAAAGCCAACAACATGGTACCCATGGATAAAATGTGCGTCAAATTACAATCAATTTTACTGTAACCAAACCCAAGTACATCAGGATTTTTGTTCTTAATTCTTACAGAACTAGTATTTAAATTATTGCTATAAATATTTCTGCTGTGTTACATGGGTGAAAAAGCCTGACATAGTCAGTCTGTGCTTTTACTTTCCCACTCAATTGCCAATGGAGATGCACAAATACAGAGGGTGAAGAAAAGCATTTCCCACAATAAAGGAAAGTAATACCACAAGTATCTCCTAAACTGCCTTTGGTGGTGACCCCAGCATGATTTGTGCACACGGGTGACCATATGGAAAGAAAGAAAGCACTTTAAAAAAAAAATTTGCAGAACTACAAGTGTGAGTGTGGATGGGGTGTGTATTCCTGCATCAGTCTGCTGAGGTGCTTTCTAAATAAGAGAGTGAAATTCTTTACCTGTATCAGAAAAGAAGTAAAAACCCCATTTTTCTGTTTTACTTCTGATCTTTCTTAATTAAGGCTAATTTCTAAAAGGAATAATTTTGGCAGAAGCTTGGAATTACATTTCCTGTGTTTCTTTCTGAGTTATGCCACTGACACTGATCTGTCTCTTGGACCTGCAAATGGAGATAATGATCAGGTTGCTTCTTCATCAAGTCCAGGTGCTGACAATATACTCAGCAGCACAGAGCAGGAAAAAAACAGTGGATTTAAAAATACATTAAATCTTTGAGTAGAGAAAACAAAAAAGAAAATCTACTGGTAGAGAAGAGCTTGTCCGGAAAATCCTTTGACAAATGGAAAAACTAGAATTCTTCCTGGTGAGGTGAGGGGTTTGGTTAGTTCATTATGGGTTATTTTGAAATGCCTGTTATACATACATACTTTTCATACACACGGAATTTAGCACAGCACATAACACAGCATGGTACATCTCTTTTCTCTAACTGGAACCTTTCTCATTTCAGGATGGTCGAGTCATCAATATTTTTGGTTGGCAATAAACAGGATCTATGCCACATGAGGGAGGTTGGCTGGGATGAAGGACAGAAGCTGGCAATAGACAACAAGTGCCAATTCTGTGAACTGTCAGCAGCAGAGCACTATCAGGAGGTTGTGGCAATGTTCACCAAGGTGCTGAGGAACATCACTGCCAACTCCAAAGTGAAGGAGAAGAGACGACCAAGCGGCTCCAAGTCAATGGCCAAGCTGATCAACAATGTGTTTGGGAAGAGGAGGAAATCTGTGTAAGAGAGGGTTAGTCCTGAAGTTGGAACAAGCTGAAATAATGGAGCTGAGCTCTTGGGATTCACTGAATTTCCTCCAAAGGTCAATATGTGGAGGAATAAGACAGTAGAAACCAAAGGTGGGAGACAGCAGGGTCTAGGCCTGGAAGATCTGACCTATTTCAGCTCTGCTGCAGATTTACTGTATAGGGCAGTGCCATTTAAACTGTGAGCTGCTCCAGAGGAGAGGTTTAGTCTGTATTTATTCAACACCAGCATGGTCTTGGATAGAGCTTCTAGGTGCAACTGAGGTATAAACAGATCTATAATTTCACAGATTCACTTCTATTGGAAAAGACCCTAAAGTCATAAAAACCAGCCATTAACCAAACACTACCAAGTCTACCACTAAACCACATAATATCCAGTAAACTCAGCCTTGCTGATCAAAATCTTACTTCAGAATCCTGAGTAGGTTTTTTTTTGGTGTGTGCAAGAAAATTTGCACTAAGAAAAGCAAAATACTGCAGGCTTCATGTGGTAGTGTATTTGTATTTAACTCAGGTTCTTGTGTGCCTTACACTTGCTGAAATTCATATGAATTCAATGCTTAGACACCAAGTCTACAAAAGCTATTTACCTGCAGAGCTGCCTTACAGAGGCACCAGAAGTATAGGGAAGCAGATAGATAAAGCAGTATTGTCTCCTGTTTCAGTATCTTTTTTTCTTTATTCCATGAGTGATGAGAGAAAGTGGAGAGGGTTGAGGAGTGTGGGAGCTGAAATGTTGGTGAAATGTTGCTCAGTGAGCACTGGGCTGTTTTGGCAAGGTGGTTGTTGAGTGAAATGATTTTACAGCAAGGGCCAGGATAAAGCGTGGGTTGATCCCTTCCACAGAGCAGCTTTTGTCAGCTCCAACAAAAGTTTCATTAGCTGCAAGGTGGCTGTGACTGCTCAACCTCAGATGGCAGCAGCAGCTTGGAAGGCACATGGTAAGGAGCACAAGTTCTCTAGGATATCTGCCTGGATTTAAAGGTCAGCCTGCTGGTGAGACCTGTGCTCACAGAGAGTATTCTTCCTAATAACCAATGTTCTTACAGCTACTCATGGCTGTGGAATTGAAATGCCACAGAGAGAGCACCGAGTACTGCTGGCTACACTTTTCACATGTGGATATTAAACATCAGCTGGGCTTAAACGTGTTGTCAGTTGACATTCAGAGCTCTTACTCTGGACAGCTAAATAAGGGCTTAGCCCAGAGTGTTTGCAAGTGCTGTTCTCATACAGAAATTATGAAAGGGAAGTGATCTGAAGATGAATTGCTGCCTCCTACCCACTCAGGGGACAGCTGGGATTCAGTCTTTGTGGGATGCTGAGTTGGAGCCTACCTCTGCTCTGAAATTTTACCTGCATTGTAACGAAAAAGTGTCAGGTTTTTGGTTTTTTTTTTTTTTTTTTTACTTTCAGCTTTTGAGTGTTCACCCTTAAGACAACATAAAAAAGGTTACATATAATCTTGGCAGTAAGGTTGTAAAATAGTACTAAAGCACATTTGGTTGTGTTGACCAAAGATCACTTTTTTAAAGCAAAAGATAACTGCTTATTTCACTTGTTATAAGACTAAAAATATTGGAAATAGTTCTCAGTTGACAGGCACAGGGTTGCTTTGTTTTTCTGCAGATGCTGCTCTGCCATATCAGGAGCATTTTAAGTGTATGTTCAATATCTATGAGACTGAATGTGCAGATTACTCATACACACCCCTCAGATTCCCAGACCACACAGGATTCCAGAACTGCCAACAGAGTTGTAGCTTTACCTTGCTCTAGCAATTCCAAATTCCAGAACTCTTATTTGTATTTACTGCTCTGGTATTAAATAAACTGGATATAAGATGGATGTATTAATGATTTTTGTTTTGTTTTCCCTTTACTCTGGTATAAAGCTACAGAGTTTTGAGTGCTATAAAAGGGAAGCACTGTGCAGATCTGAAATTCAGACTGGAGAAGGTAAATCTGGGAGTCAGGCCCTTGCACCAAAAAGGAACTCGTGTTTGCTGAGCACAGTGAAGAAGCCCTCATTGCCTTTAAGCAGTGAAGAAAACCTTTTAAAATATAGCTTTATCCTTTAAAGATTAGTCAAAACAGCCACAGAGAGGCCAATTAGTTGTGTTCATAGTCGTAGGAATGTGGGATTTCAGATTCCATAGTTTTTTTGTCTGTATAGAGTAAGTGTTGGAAGAAAGAGTAGCTGTCATCTACAGGGCCTTGAGCTCACCTGAAAACCGCCTGAAACAGCTGCTTCATCTAGAAACAGGATGATTAAGACTTAAACATACTACAACACCCAGCACAGACATAATTTGGTGTTCTCAGCATTAGGATTTCACTTGTCTTTCATTGCTGATCAGATGTATCACATCTGATAAGTGCAGATGAACAAGAATGCAGAATTTTGAAGCAAATACATACTATCCCTTTCTAAACATATTTTTAAAATAAAATGAAGGCTTTTAAAAATACTTAAAAGGCATATATATATATAAAATATATATATATAAATATATATATATAATGTTTTGCTAAGTGTTCTTAGCGTTCTAACAGAGAAGGAAATATATTAACTGGCATAGCCACATTGCAAAAAATGAAATTAGCAAGGACACTGCTTGTATAAACAGTAAATGATGTAATGATGTCTGTTGCTCAGCCTTGACAGTGACATCAACTGGAGAATATCAGGCTCATTGAGGAGTGTGGAAATGGAGCTATTTGTGTTGTCACGTATTGCTTCAGCACACAACCCCATCCTTTCTCACCAAAAGATTTTGAAATTGCTGTACAAGAATTAAAGGTTTCTTGCTGTCACACCTAGAAGTCCTTGTTTTATGAACTTTTTAGTTTCAGTAGAATTTTGCCTGAGACGGGTACTCAGAATTGATGTTCCTTCTCCCTGTCTTCAACTCATTTTTACTTTGGAAACAGTGACATGAAAGCAAAGAGATTCTACTGCAATATAAAGGTAATAGCCCCTGGTCCCAACTGCTGTCTCTCAGAGCATTTTCAGGGCTTTTTCAAGCTCTTTCTCGCTACAGTTCTGAAATTAACACTTTAGACTAACACCACCTCAGCTCTTTTTCCCACTGTCTTGTCTGTATGCATTAAACTCTTAGAAAATCCCACTGAAATCATGTTCACAACAGGGCAGAGGGGAAAACATCCCAGGAAAACTTGGAGCATGTCACTCCTGGAGAAAAGGAATAATGAAGTGCAATGTTGAGTAGCCCAACCAAACATGCTGTACTCTGAAGACAAAAGTAACTACCATGGGCTTATTTAGCCCATTGCTAGAAGCCGATTTCTGAAGGGGTGGAGAGGAGAACATTGAGCCATGTGGGAGAGCTGATGCTTTTCTCTCTCTCTGACTACACTGCTTTGAGGATGAGATTTGCAGATGTCAGATCCTGGCTCTCTCCTGCTCTGAGGCACAGAGAGGGATGGATGCTGTGGCCATTGGCTTGAATTGTTGTGATCCTTTCCCCAACACCCAACCCAAATTACTCACTGGTAATTTACAGAGCCTACACTAAAAACAAGAGGAATGTGGAAACCACTGAAAGCAGAACTAAAGTGCAGTTAGCATCCAAAACATGCTAATTTTCCATCAGTATGCCTCTTGGAACAAGTGCTTTAGGCTAATGAGATTTCATACATTGCCTATGGATAGTGGAACAAACCCCAGCTCTGATTGAGCTGGGAAGCAATCCTTGCCTGTCCACTCTGAAACAAGAAATAGATTTACAAAAAATAGAGACAGGCTACTAGAATAATCTAGATCAATAAGAAACTGTACATTAAAAACCATGAAACCTCTACCTCCTATCCATAGGAACACAGAGGCCTCTTTATATCCTTAATGCGCCCACAGGGAATGAAAACAACGGGAAGCCAAGTTTTGATGTGCACTTCAGGCAGTTTGAAAACCAAAGCCTTTGTTTACATGGCTAAAAGTGCACCTGGGCACCTGTCAACTTGTATTGTTTTAAAACTTTGGTTTGATATTTCCATAAAGAAGCAGTGTTGTAAATGCCAACGTCTTCTGTTGTGTTAGTTTGGATCCTTCCCTCCCATAACTGATATTATGTGAGACAGGCAGACTATTCTGGGCAGAAAGTTATTTTTAAACAGGCATTACTCTTTTCCAGAAACAGACTGTAAATTTCTGTCTTCTTTTAATTGCTTTACAAAGTAAATTGAGTCCCTCTGGTAATATAATTAATATCCACATTTACCCCTATATATTTGACACGACTTGGGCCATTTACTGCTACATTCATTTTTCAAGACTAGCTCTAGGAGTTCAGATAGGCATTTAATTACTGCTGAACTCTGGGAAATAGCCAAAGTTTTTCCAGGGAGGTGTACTGAGAAACACATATCACAAACAAGATAATTGGAGCAGAGTGATCTCTCCAAGCAGGTCTGTCTCCTTGTACACTCCTCCCCTCATACTGAGCAGTAAAGTGTCACCATATCTGTATTATGTAATGCATTTTACAATTTGAAATAAATATAAAAGAAGTGGAAATGAAAACATATGACCTTAAAACGGCAGGCATTGAGGCATCTGGTGAAGATTTCATTTTTCAATAAACACCACTTTTTAAATAAGATTCTCACAGGTTTTTGGTTGCAGTGTGGGGCTTTTTTTTTGTGTGTTTTTTCGGTTTTTCTCCCAAAAGTGATTTCTAGCTTTCCAGAAGAATTACCCCCAGAGTAAACTTTATTTTAAGGATGCTGTGAGCTCCCTGAAAGTTCAACAAACTTTTGTGGAGTGCCTTTAAAACTAACCCTCTGTGTGAGGCTGAGAATCCCGACAGCTTTCCTGCTTCCAACATCTCCCTCTCGTGGCGTTTTCCCCTCACTTCATCCCTCCTCGGCTGAAGCATTCCTGTTAATGAATCCAAGAGCACTGATCACAAAATACAGATGAAACTCCCAACAATATAAAATTCTGCAATGGATTTTTTCTGTTTTTAATAACGTGAAATCTCATAGGCTTAACTGGGCAGGATTTATTGGTAAAGCTGCAGGTGTTGGGAGGGTTTTTTCATGACTGACTCTTCTGGGCTCAGCTGTTTCACTGAAATAAAGTTCAGCTTTCATGTCTAAGGCACTGGAAGGTTTCCTGTTAACATCCCCTCCATGCATATTAACATCCTCAGGAAGGGCTCCAAAGTTTCTGACCTGTTTCCTGACACACCTGCTGGTCTGAGCACAGGTTTCACTTCCACCTTGTCTTCCTGCAGCTTCGTGAGGGTGTTATCCCCAGAGCATGGCAGGGAGCAAAGCTAGGCTTGGGCAAGAGTGATTCTTCTCTTATCTGCAAGCTGTAGTACAGAAACACTGCATCAACCTTTAAATGAGCAAGGTCACTTCATTAAAAACCCCGAGGTTGGGGCTGCCCAGCCCAAAGCAGATCTGCTTCTAGATTCCCCCCCTCATCCCTCTGCCTTTCTACCAAACAATTCAAGAGGTGGTGCCTCAAATAATGCAGATGAGTCACTCCCCAAAAGGCATTAAATCTCCACCAGCTCTAAAGGTAATTAGGGGTTGGGGATCTCGAAGTTAGGTGAGATGAATCATGTTGCAAACCTCTTGGGGCTCTTTGATGGCTATTTTGTCCTTCATCTCCAGCACTACAGAGCCCATCTGTCCTACTTTACCCAATCAATGGAGTCCCCATGGTTAGACAATTAACATCTAACTTGAGATGACCACTGGGTCATTTAATGCTAAATTTATTTCATATGATTGATCAGAGTGCTAGATTATATTTGATCCCTGCTGAACTTCACCAAGCACTCTGAAATCCAACTGTCACAAGTGAAATTAATGGATGAACTGGAACTGAGGGTAAGTTAACTGAGTGCTGCCACAGACTGCTTCCAAGCTAGCTCATTAAAAACTAACTAGCAGACCTTGATGCTTCACTGCAGTCTGCAGCAAAGCCCTATTTCAAAAGCTTGGCTATGGCAACTCCAAAAACCTAAAGTAGAGCAGAAAGTTGAATTGGGTCTCCTGACTTCCAAGCTCCTGATTCAACTAATCGGTTGTTTTCTGACTTGGAAAATATGTTTCTCCAATCTGTGTGTGAGCAAAGCCATTAGCTCACTTTGTGACTTATTCTGATAGCAATCACCAGCCATATGGATGAACCAAGATCATTACTTGCAAACAGACAGCATAAAATCTCTGCATCACTTATGCCTTCATTTGCTGTTGCTCACGTCCTTCTCTTTGCAACTGGAGGATTTGGCACCAAATGTCTCTAATTCACATTATTTCATTAAACAGGAAATTTAACTACAAACAAAGTTGTTCAGTGAGTGTTTCCTTTAGGCCACTGAGGTGAGGCCACAGTCACACCAGTTTCTGAGCACATCCCCAGCTATTCCAGCACCCAAACATCAGAATGAGATGCTCAGCAGATGCGTGCTGCTGACTGCCTTACCAAAAGTGCCAGTCAGGGTTTCTGCCTTATATTCTGAGCTTTTATTCCCAATAATCTTAAAGAAAATGCACTTTAAAACTTGACTTCTTCTTTAAATATTGCTCACAGGCTCAGAAGTTGTTGGAGGAGAATGTACTGACAGGGCAGATCAGAAAATGTTCAGTGAGTATCTAGGCTGAAATGTTATTTTCCACTTTTTTCCCCGCCCCTATATATTTAAATGGGTAAACTATAACAGAAATTGCTTTATAGTTTCTTTCACATGAGATATCACAAGGGCAGCATCTTTTCCTTTGCAATGAGGTGGCTGCATAAAAAAACCCCTAATTTAAAAACAATCCTCATCTACAATAATGGATTTTTAGCAATGCCTCTTGCTGGCACATAGCTAGGC